TTACGCATATCTCCAACCCGGACCGCTTCTGTGATCGCATCGGGGCGGAGCTGCGTGATTTCAGGCGGCTCCCGGATGGGGCGCCTTGTGTCACTTCCGATGGTCTCTGGCGCACGTATCGCCTTGACCGGAGGCCGGTGCAGCGGGCGAAGCCTCCCGTGCGCTACCCGAGTACCATTCTCGGGCCAGCGTACGAGGAGACGGACTTCATGATGCCCAACGCCGCAGCTCCGAGTCCCTACCGTCACTTGTTTAGGGACGAGACCCCGCTGGGCGAAGCGTTGGAGGCGATTCGCGAAGAGCAGGGGAGATCCGGAGAGGTTCCCGAAGATGTTGAACCGCCTCCTCCGGCGTTCCCCGACGAGCTTTTGGAGCCCCAAGATCCGGACGTGGACGCTCCCCGGGAAGATACCCCGAGGGAGCACGTCCAAGCGATGAGGGAAACCTTTTCAGACCTTATCTGGAACGCCCACGATGGGCTCAGAGAAGAAAAGCTCGCCGCGGGTGTCTTGAACCCTATCGCAAAGCAGACTGACACCCAACTGGAGATAGATCCCCCTATGCTGGAAACGGATCTGCTCCCTCGAGAGAAGGGGGGTGTCCAGAGGACTGGAACCCCGCCTGATCCACGATGGGGTGCGGAGCCTCAGGCTTCCAGCCCTAAGAAGAAAGCTCCGCCATCTTCGGCGACGCATTCCGAGGATCAGGAGATGGCTCCTGCTCCTCCGGATGCCTCTCAGGAGGCGTCTTCCTCCTCTGCAGCGCCTGCGGCCAACGTGACTCCCCCAGCTGAGGCAGGGAGTCCGGAGGTCCGGATCCCTAGCCTCGCGGAGTCTATGAAGGCAGGCTTGGCACGGGAAAGAGCGGCGGCACGCGCCAAGGAGGAGCTTGCTGCTTCGGCCCAGGAGGCCGCGGCTGCGGCTCCTGAGGCACGGCGCGACACCCGCCTTCCTGCAGTGACCAAGGAGGAAAAGGAGACAGCAGAGGCTAAGTCCCTCTCCTCCCTCAAGCGCGCCGTTGAGGAGAGCGGCTCTGAGCGTCAAGGCCCCGCGGCCAAGCGGGCCACCACCAAGAAGGAAGAAGCGCCCTCGGCACCAGCCGGCCCTGCAGGAGCCGCGGCCGGGACAGGCGCGGCTCCCTCGTCTAGTGGCGAGGCAGGTGCCGAAGAAGGTGCCAGCGGGGCCGCTGCTCCGTCGAGCACAGACAAGCGGCGACCCGCGGAGCCGGAGGGACCGCCGCCGCCCAAGAAGCGATTCACAACATGGCAGGATACCATGGAGTCGCCGGCTCCCCAACACCGAGTTTCGGGGGTTTACGGACTCTCGAACGAGGTTCCCGGGGCCGATTGGCGCGACGTGGACTGGGATGCGACTCCACCGCCGGGGCCTGGAAGGCCCGGCGCCCGCGACGTGGATCCCAGGCTCACGGTCCCCCTTGATCTCCAACATGATGAACAGATCAGGGAATTCTTCCGAGGCGGTGGTGAGCATACGCTCGAGCAGCTCCTCGCGTTGGCGCGGCGCCGGAGGCGCGCGTTCGTCTACCAGGCTGCGATTTTGTCGAACAGGCCAGTGTTTGAAATCTGGCCCGATTACGATGAAAACGAGCTTGGACCGACACCCGAGCGCGTTCCGCTCCTCACAGGCAAGGTCTGGCCTTGGGGCTGGTGGGATTGCTTTACTTGTGGGCGTGCGAACCCACCAGAACGCAATACCTGCCGGCACCATGATTCCGAGGAGCTCGGAGGTGCCCCCTGTGTGGGGATCTTCGAGGACAGCCTGTACTGGAGCACGCCGGTGGACCTGCGAACGGCGCCGGCGTGGTTCATCGAGGTCTGGCTCGATGAACATAAGGAACGCATAAAGGAGTACCTTTATGCGAAGCGTTCGGACGCGATCGCCGCCGCAATGTCCAACGCCTACTGGACCTGTGGGCGGGACACATGCCAAGAGAGGAACATGTTATGGCGCAAACTGTGCTTTAAGTGCAGTGGCCCTAAGTCGGGCGCGTCGTTCATAACCCACGGCATGCCGCCCCAGGAAGGCGACGATGAAGCTGCTTCTTCGTCGGAAGAGAGCGAGGGCACGAAGATGGAACGGATCGAGCGTTCCATCAACGCCGATCCCCTTGCGGAGCATGCGAGGAAATTCCTCCGCTCCGGACGGAAGAGGCTCCGCGCTGAAAAGCGCAGGCAGGCAGAGCTCTCTCAAGACTCTGCCCGAGCCTGGTGGAGCCAACCTTCCTCCGGGCGCGGTGCACCCAGTGGGGGCCGCAGCTCTGGCAGCAAGGGTGGTGGCAAAGGTGGTGGAAGGGGAAGCTCGAACCGCTACGGCAACCGAGGATGGTGGGCCGGAGGTGCTGCCGGACTGGCATACTCCTCCCGACTCGGCGAGCGTGCTGGGCAGCCCGCCCTCACGCTCCCACTGCGTGGCCCGGGTGGCCACAGAGTGGCGCCCGAGGCCCCTGCCGTTTCTTCTCGCCCCGCTGTCTCTTCCGGGCCCTCGAACCGTGGTGGGTTCCTTGGGGCCGTGCGCTCGATAGGCGCTGCGGTCTCCAGCTGGGCTCTCTCCAGGAGAGCGCGCAATCGCGCAGCCCACGCCACAACGGGCAACATTGGATGGAAGATGGGTTTGGTGGCCGCTGCGCTGGCGCCTACCCTCTTCACTGTTGAGCGCGGTGCCAGAGAGGTGGCACACGTGAGCCTCACTGCAGTTGCCACTGCGGCGGAGGACCTCATCGAGGAATCCTCTGGTATCCTCGTTCGGGGTGTCCGCGTGGTTGGCTTGACGGCCGTCGTCCTACTGTGGACGTTCGCGGCCGTAGTGCTGTGGTGGGCCGGACGTGTCGCCACTAACCGGCTAATGCACGCCATGAACGGTAACCCCTTTGGGAATGCTGTTCTGGTGTCGCTCGAAGGCCGGGAGGCCGTCTTTGAGGTAGCCTCGAAGACTAAGGCCGGCGCACACAGAGTCCTGGTGAAGATCGGGTCGGGCGCGGATGGCGCAGGCTGCGACTGCAAGGCATTCCTCAACGAGGGACGTTGCGGTCACATAGAACGCGCTGTTGAAGCTGCGGGGCAACTCGTGGCCGTGACAGGCGCGAGCGCTGCCCCAACGCTGTCCGTTGCCCCGGCCGCGACTAGACGGGCCCGTGCAATCCTCGGCCCGCCGGCCCTGGAACAGGGGTGCCTTTCCGGCATGGTGTCGAAGGCGAGGTCGCTCTCGGAAAGAGCCCGGAATGTCGGCAACCCGTCTGAGGGCTGCCTTGACGGCATTACCAGGCTCAGAGGCCGCCAGGAGGTGGCCACAGTGTCGGCGCCTCCGACAGAGACTGTCCCGAAGACGCCTGCAGCAGAGGCTCCCCGCCAAAGTACCTCTGCAGCGTCTCCGGCCCTGACAGCTCCCATGTCGAGCCAGGCACGCCGTGTCAGAGACTTCCCGATCCCTGACGGCTTCGAGCGAGCCGGGGTCAAGTTTCTGACCCTTCCGGAGTATCACGCTGTGGTACAAATGATGCTATCGGACGCTGGGCATGGGGACCACGTTTACGTGCGAGCCTACAGCTTCGATAGCAAGCCTTTGGTTGGAGCCCTCGTGTCCTCGCTGGAGCGAGGCGCCCGAGCCCACGTGCTTGCCGACAACTCGCAGACGAGCCGGACCAAGCTCCAGCTGCAGTCCCTCAAGGAGCTAGGGGCGGCTGGCGTCCAGGTCCGTGTCGGCAAGGGCACCTCGGTCAAGGCGGCTTACGCCGCCGAGAACCGCACGGACGTGAGCATCGGCGCAGGCCTCGCGGGCATCCACCACGCCAAGACGGTGCTCGTGACGAGGCCGGACTCCACAGTTAGCGCCGTGATAGGAAGCCTAAACTTTAGTGCTAGTTCACGGGCCAACGCGGAGGTCGGCATCGCGGTCGCCAGTGTGCTGACCTCTGAATTTAGCCAAAAGTGGCTAGATTCGTTTGGCACCGAGTGGTCCAAGGCGCTGAAGCTCGAGGAGTTCGAAGCACCTCAGCGGAACCACCGCGGGCGGGCAAAACCCTCAAATGTCCAGCAGCCCGCCGCGCAACCCAACGTGGAGCCGCAGTGACCGTGGACTAGAAGTCGCGGACTGCGCTCCGCCCTTCTAGCCACCTGTGGCAACTTCAGTTTTGGTCGCAGCACCTAGCTGCTTTCCGATGAGACGACAGGGTGGCGTATCCGCTCTACAGGTCTTTGACGGGAGCGGCTAGGGAGGCACGGTAGTGCTCCCGAAGCGCGTGGAGTAACGCCGCAGCTTCAGCTGCTCGTTTCACCAGCCCTGTGGCCGCAGTGCGGCGCAGGCTGTGTACAGTAGGAAACCAGAGCCTCGTGCAGCACAGGCCGTGAAAAACGAAGGTCTTGTGCTGAGTGCGAAGGGTTTGTAGGAGGGCAGGGTCTGTAGGTCAGTTTTACGGCCTCCGGCCGCCCGCGGAATCCTACGGCTCTATCGTGCTCTCGGCTGAGGGGCGAATGTAACTGTACATAGTCTGCGGGCTGGCTGTTGTGCTGTATGCTTTTATGCATGCTCTTCTGTAATTCGTATTCATAACATTTTTGGCTCAAGTGAGCACGGCAGTGTGTCGTTGGTAGCTTCTCGTTGCCGCGACGCAATTGCGCGCAGCCCGTCCTGGGCGGACGTTCGACCTGTCACGGTCGTTGGACTTTCTGCTTGGACGGAAAACGAGGGTGCGTGCTGCCCCTTTGGGTTTCCGTTCTCCACATACTACTACTACTACTACTACTACTACTACTACTACTACTACTACTACTACTACTACTACTACTACTACTACTACTACTACTACTACTACTACTACTACTACTACTACTACTACTACTACTACTACTACTACTGTTCAAGCAAAGCTTCAGGGGATGATAACAATCTGCACTTGAATCCTGACAACTTGCCTGTCCCCGCAGCTCGATTTCGGATAATAGGATCTATCCTATAGTGAACTCCAGAATCGCCCGCGTAAGCTCCATGCCGAAGCGCCCTGCTGCTGCCGACGCCGCTGCGGTTGCTTTGGCTTGGCCTCGCCGCCGCCGGGTTATGGACGAAGTTCCGCATGCTGCGGAAGAAGCCGGGCCTGCAGAGCTTCATCGACCTTTGCCAGCTGAGCGCGCAGCTGCGTCTTTGCGACCTGCGGGCGCGCCGCCGCGTGCACCTCCGGCCAGCCCTGCACCACGGCCTCTACGCCGACCTGCCTCGTTGGGCACAGCTACTACCCATCTTTGCCACGGTCGTCCCGACGAGCCCTGTTGCTTTTCGACACGGGTCTCCGGACAGCGTGCGCGTTATCAGGATGCCTCGCTGCAGTGTCCCTGGTGCAACTCCGAGCTGCTTCGGACCAGCTTGGATACGGAGCGTGGCCGCGGCCAAATGAGTCGCGCGCTGCGATTCTTCTGGCAACATGAAAAAGCTGTATATCACAAAGCAGTGGAACGCTTGCCCGAAAGCGTGCGTTTGTACTGGCCGTTGCAAGCTCTTGGACTTTCGCCGGCCTTCCACTCGGCCGCGGCCCTCGGCGAGGCGTTGGCGACCCCGCAAGGCCGAGGACGAATTTTAATGGTGCTTCGTAAGCGTCAAGCCACTGACGGGGACCTCGTGGCCGAGGCATTGAAAGCCGTTCCGGCAGAGCACCTGGACGATTTGGCAACGAAGTTGGCGCAAGAGCCACGCCGGGTGCGCCGGGCGCGTGAGCGGGCCGCGGCCGAAACTGTAGACCAGCAGTGGGAGCGTTTGCTGGCACAGCGGCGCCGGCTCCGAAGTTCGGCCGCGCCCGACGAAGACCGGGCCATTTACGCCAGACGCGTGGCTGAGGACCGAGGCCGGGCGCGCCGCAAGTTCTTTCCTGAGCGACCCAGGCAAGTGCGACACACCGGGCGCAGCTGGACAAATCCTTTCACTGACGCGTTGGCGGCTCGCGTCCGGGACCTCGCCTCTAATGACACGGGCCTGCCTCGGACCCACGTGACGCCAATGGCGGCCATGTTGGAGGACTGGTGCAAGCAGGGCGCCTGGGGTGTCTGCGAGCGCTGCTACAGCCTAGAGCCACGACATTTGAAGGAAGTGGACACGCGGCGCGTCGCAGCCCCGGCCGTGCCGCATTGCCGCTGGTGTCGACGCGACGGCGTTGAGTCTGTGCCGACCGTTCACTCTGTGCCACGCCAGCTTCGCGGATTGACAGCGGAGGCGGTCGAGGCCCTGCGCCCGCTTGAAATCGACTGCGGCCCGTACCAGCGTCCGTTGCACGGTTATCGAGTGCACACTGCCCTCATCCGTCTACTATGGGCTACGACCGCTGTGGAAGACAGGGTGTCGGCCTTGCAGCCTCGATCTGTGCGCAAGCAGGCGCAGAAGGCTTTTGCGTTTTTGATGCAGTCGCGCCATTCGGAATACGCTACCTTCGTCAAGCAGCACCGTCGCTTCCTCCGCGCCCACCCGGACGCCTGCCAGAGCGATCGGCGACGGCCCTTGCAAATGATCGAGGCTCCTGGCATCGAGACTGCACTCTGGCCCGATCTATATTGGCATTCGGACTTGTGCGAGACGGTCCAGCGGGCCACGGACGCGCGTCGCCTGAAGCGGCAGCAGTTGCAAGATACGGACAGTGATGAGGACGGAGCCGACGAGGCCGAAGGTTTTGGCCGCAGCAGCATTCGACGTAGCTTCTTAAAGAAAATACTCGGTCCAATCCTGGACTATGCCGGAGAGTACGAACTCCTTCAATTCATTTTCGATCTGTCGCACTGGAGCGACTTGGGCTCGAAGCGACATATACAGCCACAACTTCCCATGCGGATCCTGCTCAAGGGGGCACCGTTCACGCCGGCTTATTGGGCCGTTCGTCATGCAGCGATACTTGACCTGCAGCGACAATGTGGATACCCGGTCTTATTCAAGACGTGGGCACCGTACGAATGGAGCGCGCCGTATCATCGTGCCCTGCTCCATCAGATGAACGCCCTGCTGCGTTCCCGCCTGCACCTGGAAGGGCCGGAGACGCTGCACTTGGCCCACATCCTCGTGGAGCTCCTCCGCGAGTGGGTCGCTGGGGGCAGCCGGAAGCATGGCGAGAGCAGCACTCTCTGGCGCACGCACTGCCTGAGCGCTGCCGGCGGCAACCGCATCAACTTTGCGGCGCGGCTGGAATATCAGGACGGGAAACGAAAGGCGGCAAGTCAGGATTATCATGGCCGCGGTGCGATCCATCTCCACGCAGTTCTGTTTGCCGAAAGCCTGCAGAATTTGCAACTGCACCGGAAGCTACTGGCGACGGAACTGCCGGAAGGCCACGCGCTACGGGGTTACGTCCTAGACCAGCTCAGCTACTCCGGCAGCGGCTGGCCCGTGCACGCAGGTGCCTCCTGCTGGGACGATCTGAACGAGGCTGTGTGCTTGCACCACACTGAGCGCGATGCGGAGCAAGGGGTGCGTGCGTACGGTCTGGAGGAAGTGGACATCTTGAAGAGCCATGTGGACAACTTGGTGCCGCAGGCCGGGGGGGCCGCCGGTCGTGGCCTCCTCCTCCGCTATGTCGCGACCTATAACGCGAAGTTCAGCGGCAGCTTCCACAACGAGCTCCTGGACGACTCCGGCGTTTCCGGATATGGAATCGCGCTGCGGGTTCTCAGTTCCCTGCATCCGTCCGAGCCGGAAATGTGGGCGACCTTGTGCAAGCAGCTCTTCCCCGATTTCGCGTTGGGAGGCACCATGTTGCCCATCGTCGCGCCCTGGCCTACAATGGCGGAACAGCCAGCATTCGTTCGGCGTTACGAGCAGTGTGCTTGGCGCAGCGACAACATGACCCTGCTAGACTTCCTGCGCAAATCCAACGCCAGCGGTGACGTGGTGGCCTGGCTACAGAAGGCCCACGCGGCCGCTGACACGGCCTTGGACCTGGGCGAGTTTGCGAGTGTGTACCCTACCTTCGGAGAAAAGATCATAGCGGCAGAAACGGTTGGAATCTTCAATGACAAGTATTTCGGACAGTGGCTCATGCTGAATGTCCCGTTTCGTGCTGCCGCTGATTTTCTCGATCCTGAAATCCTGGCGAAAGTGCCCGCTCGCTACCAGCTCTTCGCTTGTGCGCACCGTGCAGCCCCTGAGTACTGGGCAGATCGAGGTCGCATCGTGGAAGATCTGCAGCTGGCCGCGCATCGCGACACCGCCATTGCCAATTTTCTCGCGCTGCTGGCTGCGCAGCAGGCGATCGTCCAGCAGTATTTGCGTGGAGAGATCACGCTGGAGGACGAAGTGCCCGAGCCGGTGCTGCCTTCCGCAGCGCGTCCCGGCACGTCCAGGCCACCGACCTTCAACCGACAGCAGCAGGAATTGGAGCGACAGGCGCTCGAGCGCTTCGCACTCTTACAAGCTTTGAAGGATGCCCAGTCGGAGGAAGAGATCGAGGAAGTGTCGCAGCAGCTGGAAACGCACAACAGCATTTTGGTGTGCATGGGCGGACCGGGCACGGGCAAAACGTTTCTGGCCGATCACCTCGTGCGCGTTGCGGTCGAGCGAGGATATCGGGTGCTTTACGCCCTGCCCACGGGCCAGCTCGCATGCCGCATGCGCCAGCGCCACCCGGACATTCATGTGGACACCTGTGCCGGCGCCTTCCTTTTCTACCGCCCACTATCGGAAACGATCGCCCTCATGACCGAATACGACATGGTCGTCATTGACGAGGCTTTGCAGCTCGGCGCCGAAGAGTTCGCCCGACTGCACGCGCTGTTCCTCGCGGCCGGCCGCCGGCTGCTGCTGCTGCTCCTGGGCGACGATTGGCAGCTTCCAAGCATTGCGCCCGAACGCGCCAGCGACCACCCACAGTGGCGCTTCACTCGCACCGTCACGCTGACGGAGGTCCGTCGATGCAAATGCCCCCGTCTGCAGGCCAAGCTCGACTTCTTGCGCTACCACAAGCCCGTGGGCCAGGAGGGCAAGCGCTTCGTAAACCGCTTGTGCTACAAGCATAAGGCATGGACCGGCCACGACGAACCAACTAGCCTCGACATCGCGGACGTGCTGCGGCGTACCGAGAACAACACGACCTTCGTCACTTGCACCAAAGCCGGTGCCGCGATAATCAACGCCCTGGCGGTTCAGGTTCTGTTCACCAACCGGAAGCAAAGGCTCCTCGGACAGATTCCGGGGACCTACGAAGACAACGAAGACAACTACGATGCGCACGGTCGCCTCCGCTCCGATCGTCCGCCGCAACCTAGCGCGGTCCCACTGTATGTGGGCATGCGCTTAGTGCTGACCAGGAACCAAGACAAAGAGAACCACTACGTGAACGGGATGGTGGCCACGGTCGAGGCATACTGTTCTGCGACTGGCTGTCTTCGTGTGCGGACACAGACGGGGCGGCGTCTGGCGGTGTATCGCTACACCGACCCGGATGTGCCTTCCGGACGTGTGGTTTACTACCCGGTGCGTGTTGGATACGCAGGGACCATCTACAAGTATCAGGGAGCTGAATTGCAACACATCACTGTGTGGCTGAATCGCACTTGGTGCAGGGCGGCTGCGTACGTTGCTCTCTCCCGCGTGGCACGCGACGAGGATTACCTCGTCGGAGGCGTCGTAACCGGCGATCACCTGGTGCCCGCCAAATAATGTGCGACCACCGTTATGCTCCGAAGTTGTCCAAAGGACACTGTTTGCACAAACGAAGTCAATGGCTTGGATTGTACCACAAGTTGTGGTTTGTTTCGTAACTTGTTGAACATAAACTCTGTGAAAAAGCTTAAAACCGGAAGGAACTAACAAAACCAGCGGGCGAAATCATGATTTTATATTCGCATGATTTTGCGGATGTTTTTGCACCGAAAACTTGATAAGCTGCCGGGTCTTATTTTTGAAGCTTGCATGGTTTGCTTTATAGTTCCATGGGCGGCTTGTCGCGACGTCTTGTTCTGTAAAGTCTTGACAAACACGAAGACAACGTATTGCGCATGTTCACGCCAAGCAAAAGCAATCCAAACGCAGTCATGCAAGCACAAGCAGAAGCAGGCCGAAGCTCTGCATCAAACCTTCCTTCCTCAGCACTCGACGTCGTCGTTTCGTCGTCGTCGTCGTCGTCGGATCGTCGTCGGATCGTCGTCGTCGCATTGTCGTCACCGTGGCCGTCGTCCTGCTCGTCTTACCTGAGCGGTGAGCGATTCCTACTTTAAGTTGTCATGCAGGCTTGACTTGAGGGGGCGGTCTTCCGAGTTCTGTCTTGCGTAGGATTTCCTGCGGTTCGTAGCCTATAGACTCTTTAGCGAAGACTTCAGGCATCGTCAGTTTTCCGAGGTTCGAGTTGCAGGGGGGACCATCATAACACAAGCCCTTGAGGCCCCAGCTCTGTGAACCTTGAGGCCACGTAGTCGACCTACTCGTCTTCAAGTAAATAATAAACGCCCTGCATTATTTATCTATTTTCAAAGGTATTTATATATAACTATAGTTATATATAAATACTACATTTGAAAATAGATAAATAATGCAGGGCGTTTATTATTTACTTGAATATGTGCCCATGCGCATTCCAAGCTAATTTCTTTCTCCAATTACAGCCTGAGGCTGAGACCCCAAACCCAAATAGGCAAAGACAGCCTGCATGCACTCAGGTGCAATGAACCCAGATCACTTCAAGATTTAGGGCTTTCGGGTTTGGGATGTTTGGGTCTTCGGCTTTTGATCCTCTTAAAAAGGTACAGGAGTATAGAAGGGGAGTCCCACTGCAGAGCTGTGTTGCTCGAAGATTGTGGGTTGCATGTGCAATGCAGAATATAGTTATATAAGTTAGTTGCGGGTTTAGGATTTATAAGTTAGAAGGTGACCCCACCCTGTAATTGTGGTATAATAGGACTATAATAGGGCCCTACTATAAAATCCTTATAGTCACTATATTACAGGGTGGGGGCAGCTTCTAATTTATAAGGTTGGGTATTCAGAACTTTCGGGGATCGAACCCCCTTCCACAAAATCGAACTAAAGCCCCATACTCGCAAAACCCGAACTTGGAAACCGCACGAACTCCCAAACTCTCAAGGCTCTGCTGTGAGCGCGATCATGGTCTGCATGCTCCAAGCCTGTTTGCAAGGAGGCTTTAGGGTCCATACGTATGCAGGATTCATGAAGCACTTCGCAGCAGTATACTCAAGTAAGCAAATGTCTCTGTTCATACATCTACGATTGCAGTGCTCCGCATAATTAAGCATGCACAGCATGCACATGCAACTTACATGCTGCCGGTGTGTCACGTGGAGAAGGCCGGGTGACCTGCAGCTCTGCATGCTGTCTGCTATCACAAGTGAGTACAGGATTGCATCGTTCGGATACCTCGGGACTCGCAGGCATTTTGCTTTACTCAGTCTAGCTTTTGTTTTGCGACCTGTGTGTCGTAGCTCAGCATGCCGTGCCATGCAGATGATCGCGACCTGTCCTTCACACACCTGTACTCTAACTTGCTGGGAGACAGCAAGTTCGAAATCGAGGAAATCAAGAGGACGTTTCGCTCTGTGCGTGCCATGTCTGCATTCCTGTGTGAGCACGTGTGCGGGTGGACTTCCGTGAAGTCGTATCTCATGCAAGCTGAGGGCCCGGTAAGGTTTCCTGGAGTTTTGAAGAAGTCGTACCTGGCTTGCAATTTTATCTTACACGCACGCATGCTGCCAAGCTTCTTACATTTAGGTGTTGGGTATCTACCAAGGAAAGGGTGGCGCAGGGTATGTTCGACGAGATGCCCGAGCGAGCTGTAGATCTGATCCAGGATAAGACGCTGAAACCCGGCACCAGGCTCGTCAAACTGTCGTCTGACATCAGCAAGCCGACTGCGCAGGACGGGTCCTAAATTCAGTACGTTAGATTTGTGGGCCTTTGTATACTCACACTCTTGTACGAAGGAAGTCTCGGCCAACTACGTTTGGCTCCGTCCTATCTGCATGGAGTACCCGAGAAAGGTGTCCTGTCTTTGATTCTAGTCCTACTGGGATTGGAACGCATGTGTGGAGCAAGTATTGAAAAATAAGGTGCCTTCGGCTTTTCTTCTTACAGACGTACTCTTGCACTTGGACCGCCTCTTCAAGAAGAAGCTCATCATCCCCGGCGACGGGGATACCAAAGTAGTGGCAGCGGCGCGGGACGCCAAGCGCCTGAAGAGGCTTATGGGTGCGCTGAGGGGCTTGTACCGTAATTGCACCTTGTCTTTCTTAACGAAGCATGAATGATGTGTGCTGTCGTTGTCGTGCGCTATGATTTCTTGTCGTGTTAGGCAAGACGTCTACGGATCCGAAAATCCAAGAGTTGAAGAACTTCTTGCTGCCTGCAAACGAGGAGGCCTGCTGATTCTAATGTTCACGGCAGATCAAAACCCCTGTGAAGCCTTAGCCGTAGCCTAAAACCCTAAAGCCCTTTGCAGACAGGTTATATACAGCTTAACACTATATAAACCGCCAAACCTAAATCTGTAGAAACCCTATACACGGAGTCCGTAAACCTCATAAGTTCTCCACTTGCAAGATAACGTTGGCATGTCGAGCAATGCTCTTTGATACATAATCAATCTAATATGTTTAATCATCCACAAAGGGTTTCTCAGTAGTTGCACATTGCAGGATGATGAGGACAGCGACGACGCTGCCGTCGATGGCGAAGGGGAGGAAGAGGAGGCGGAGACCTCTGACGCCTGCGATTCAGAAGGTGGAGAAGATCCGGCTTCGGATGCCCGCCCGAGAAGTTTGAATGCGAGCAGCAGTGATGCCACCGAGGCTTACAACGAGATTTCGAGATCTTTGGAGGCTGAGCTTCGCGAGGGCAGCGAGGCACCCATCGCTGAGGAACACGTTTCGAGATCCTTGAAGCCTACGACGACTAACAGCAGCGAGGGCAGTGAGCCACCCAGCCACACGGCCGAGGTTTCGAGATCCTTGAAGCTTACGGCGACCGACACCAGCGAGAGCAGCGAGCCACCCAACGCCACGACCGAGGTTTCCAGATCCTTGAAGATTGCGACGACCGACACCAGCGAGGGCAGCGAGCTACCCAACGCCACGACCGAGGTTTCCAGATCCTTGAAGATTACGACGACCAACAGCAGCGAGGGCAGCGAGCTACCCAGCACCACGGCCGAGGTTTCCAGATCCTTGAAGATGGCGACGACCGACAGCAGCGAGGGCAGCGAGCCACCCAGCGCCGTGGCCGAGGTTTCGAGATCCTTGAAGATTGCGGCGACCGACACCAGCGAGGGCAGCGAGCCACCACAGGCTGGGGATAGCAGCAAGCCCCCCATGAACAGATCCTTGGAAGATGAATTGGACGGGGCTGCCGGCAGTGGCGAGGACTCTGACTACAATCCTTCGGAGCCTGACAGCTCCATGGAGGAGATGATGAGCGACACCGATTCCAATGCCAGCACCTTGCAACTTGGTCAGACCCGTGCCATGAAGCCTGCAGGTAAGGCAACGATGAAGACCCCTCCTTGCAAGGGTCGGGCCTGGATGAAGAGTGGCGAGATGTCGGTCACGCCATCCCCAGTTCCGATGCAGACTGCCAAAGGCTTACTCGGATAGGTGTGCCGTATTTCTGGAAGATGGGATGTTTCTCATGTGACTTAGCAAAAACGTTTTGCCTCGTATCTTTTGTCGTCCTGCTTCCATAAGGCCAAAACTGCGAAGGATGACGAGCCCAAGGAAGCCAAACCCGGCAAGTCCAAGAAGAACAAGAAGCCGGCTAGGAAGGCATCCTTCCGACGCAGGGGCAACAAGCGGATCCGTTCGAAGAAGTTGGCCAAGGCAGCCAAGGCCAAGAAGTCCAAGGCCGAGTGTGAGCCCGCGGATGAGAAGAAAGAGGAGATGTTGGGCGACTGTCCCGATGGCAAGTTCAAGGGGGTTTACGACCTCAGCATGCTTCCTAAGGAAGCCTGGCCGCAGAATCGGCCGAACCTCGGAAAGCACAGCTACACCCTTCGGGCCGGCTCGGCCTCGATCGAAGTGCTACTGAGACATGGTGCCTTCTACATCAAAAAGGTGGGAGTCGGCGCAGCTGGACCCGGAGGGCAAGTGAGCTACAAAAGGAGCTGCCCCGCCGAAGTGTGGGAGCAGGTTAAGAAGCGAGCTGGGTACGTGCCGAGCCAGAACGACATCGTTGACTGAGAGATGTGATCAAAAGGGCCTGATGTGGCCTGCTGAGTTTTGTATATGGATGGGGACAGACTGCCTACAATGAAAGTCATTGTGGGCAATCCATGAGCATGGATAGGCCACGGTGAGTGCTGAGTATGATATACTCCTATACAGCCCTGTACAAGTTTTGTGAGCGGTGTTTGACGTTGCATCATGCACTTGTCTGCCGGCAGCCATGCTCGCTTTGGGGTCTGGCGAAATCTTAGCTCGATTGACTATTTGCCACGCATTGCACATGTCTGAGCGTCTGCGCATACCGGGCATGCCGTCGTTTGCGCTTCGAAAGTTTAGTGCCAGTGCAACTTTTCAAGTCAAATGTGTGAGCAGCAGCATCCCCGCACGCAGGTGGAGACTGGCTTGCTCTACATGTGTGGCCCTGGAGGACTCGCTACGAACCCTAAACCGTGCACACCCTAAAACCTACAGCCCAAACCCCAAACCCTAAACCTTAAGTCACCCTGCACCTGTCTCGCAGGATCTCTGCAGCCGGGCCGTTCGAGCAGCAACAGCCGGCCTTGCTTGCACACTTGAATTTTGAGGGCGGATCATGGTGTCTGGGATAACACTAGGTTGTTTGTTCATCGGGGTGTGCATCTACTTATACCCTTCAGCCTCATGCGACCATTCCGGAACATTTGTCGAAGGCTTTTGCATTGTCGTCATACTTGGAGGTTCATGGGCAGTTATAAGTGGGGTTATAATAGGGTAACTATACTTATAACTCATATTTGGGGGACTCATAACCCTATACTTGTAACTACCCATGAACCTCCAAGTAGGCTTGGGTTTCAGAGAATTTCGGAGCTCCATGTGTATAGGTCCGCCGAAACCCTAAATAAAAGCCGCAAATCTTTATAGCCCTATACACAATATACACCTGAAAGACCTATCCGATGTTACATGAGCTGGGCACCTTCCAGGTCTCTGGTTTTGCCATTGCATGGATGAAGCCGAGAGTAATATACTTGGAGGTTCATGGGTGGTTATACGCGAGCTTGTAAGTAGGGCAACCATGGTTATAACTTGTACTATAGGGGACTTATAACCCTAGTTATAACTACTCATGAACCTCCAAGTATGTCGAATATAAACTACTAATAATGGGTCCCGAAGTTGCCATGCATCCGAGCTGCAGTGCAAGGCTTGTAGTTGTATGTGGTGACTTACCATTCCACTATACTAGACTGAATTAGAAGTCTAGGGGATGAACACTGTATGTGTATACACACTTCGTAAAGTTCTGTATGTATATATATATATGTACATATATATATATATATGTAAGTACCTTATTACGATTTTGATTATCCTCCCTTTGGTCACTTATAGCGGGTAGGGGCTTGATCTTCCATATTCATCCCGGGTTGCAAATCGTTATTGGGAGTTTCATACCTCCCACTGTTCAGCCTCTAAATCCAATCCCTCCGAATCTCAGCCGTGGACTTGCTCACCGTAGCTCAAGCCCTGTAAGTTCAGAGGAGGAACGCAGCCTAAAGGTCTCACCCGGTAATGTTTTTGGGTGCAATCTTATAGGGGTGCCTCTCTTCGATGTCTTACATGTAGTCTAGCTGCACTGACACACTGACAATGGAACCTGCTCCGAGTGATGTCTGGCGGGACCGTCAACGACGATGGACAATGACCGGGCTACGTAGGATTGGGGCTCCCAAGGCATGTCGTTGTTAAACACCCCACCCATGGTTTTGTAGATTCCACTTATTTCGGTTCCAAATTCACCTCTGCTTTCCCTAAGTCATCCTCTGTGGCAACCGAGCAATCCCTGAACCCCTCTACGAACTTATATGTGCGAAACTCAAGTCACCAAGCCTCTTGTCGGCCCTCGTAATCCTAAACCCGAGTAATAAGCAGTACCCAAGGTATAGGTTAGAGGTTTCGGCAGGGCTTCGGTTTTCAAGGGGCTTCGGTTTACTGTGATTTTGGGCTTATAGGGGTTCGGGAATGATAGGTTTTAGACTTGCCGCACAGGTGGCAATGCTCTTGGCGGCCCTGGTCTTTGCCTTGCCGGGACTTGACTGGTCACCCACGGATCACTGCGAATTGTTCGCAGGAGAGATGGCTATCACCCGTGCGGAACTGGAGGTCTGCGGGCTTAATGACTTATAGTGCTGTTATAGGGGTTTAGTTATGAATACATATATATATATATATATATATATATATTAGAAGCTGCCCCCACCCTGTAATAGTGGTATAACAGGAATATAATAGGGCCCTATAATATAAGCCTATATAGTCCTTATGGTCACTATTACAGGGTGGGGGCAGCTTCTAATATATATATATATATATATACACACATATTTATGGAACCACAGATACAAAGTCGCTTTTGGGAACTGTGAGCCTGGGTTCAGGGGTGCTTCTTGGGGTCTGCAATCCTGCTGGGTTTAGGGGTGCTTCTTGGGGTCTACAATCCTGCTGCTGTTGCCGGTTCCCTGCATCCTGCCTCATGAGGCAGGCAGACGGGCCGTGGCATTCGACGTGCGGTACGACAGTCTCTTTATGAACTTTAACGGTGACTGCGGGTACTGTCACGCCATCTATCAGGTCTTGAGATTGATCCCCGGTGGTGGCCTCATGATCGCGCCCGTGTGCTCGTCATGGATCTTCATGAACCTAGACGGCAGATAGTGTGTTCATTGTCTAATTATACCAAATCACCACGTGCAGTAGACTAACCTAGCAAGAGCCAGTCAATTCCCTCGAGGTCCAGAGGGTCAACGAAACGGAGCAAGTACAACGCTCGAGGCAACCCTTCTGCACCCTCCGTGCAACAGGGAAACCTGATGGCTGCACGCACAGCTATACTATTATACCTGGCCGCCGCGCGGGGCGTGTGGTTCGTTCTGGAGCAACCTTCTGGTAGCCTATTTCAGGAGCACCCTCGTATACAGCAGCTTCTCCGTATTCTGAAACTACGAAAGAAGCTTATCCACATGCTCGATTTTGGTGGTTTCTCCAGCAAACCCACATGGCTTTACAGCAGCCCCGCGACTTCATATCTCAGCATAAATAGTTTTGGGGACCCCACCACAGAAGCCTTACAGCCCCATGCATAAAGAATCCTCGTTCTCTGCCGCACTTGAAGAGGCCACCGCTACATCGACATGTTGGACAAGTTCAAGCCGCTCATGCGGCCCACTCCGGACCCATCCATGGAGCTTGTGGTGAGGACGACCGACGAGCACGGCAACATGAAAGTGACTGGTAGCAAGGATCTGAAAGGGTCCCAGCACTATCCCATTGGGCTTCTTGCTATGCAACAGGAAAACCTGAAAGGACTTGAGTGCTCGGAACCCATCAGCTCCGAATCCGAAGCCACACGTCGAACCTGAACCCTGCTATGTAGCTAGAAATGAACCATTGGGGAAACCCCATCCCTGAACCCAAACAAAGAGTTTCTTCTAGTACACTACAGTTATAGTTATAGTGTGTATACCAGACCGTATAGGTGTTCGTGAAAGATCCAGATAATTAGACGTATAATGGGACACAAAAAATAGTTTATAAACTATTTATTTTTTGTGTCCCATTATACGTCTAATTATACTATAAGTAGAACTAACCCCAGCCCACGCAAAACCCAGATCCAAAAATACACTCGAGGTTTGGTCGTGCCATGGCCCAGCTTCGGACGAAGTACGCTGCTCGTGTGCGAAGGAAGGCCATCAGCAGGCTGAAGCAGGCCTTAGATGCAGTTTCGAGAAAGAGTCGAGAAGGCAAGAAAGTTTCGCGGGCTTGGCTCCGAGACTGGCTCCGGGAAGCTGAACTCGTGGGTGTAATTCGCTATCTAAAGCGGTGATAGTCTCTTTCAAGAAAAGGGATGCCACAAAGCATGTGATATGCCTGCAGCTGATCGTAGCTATAGTTCGTTTTCTGAAACGACAAGGCATGCAACAATTCGTGAACACGCGAAAACTGAAAAAGCTTGTTGCTTCAGGAAGCCTACAGTGATATTTCAACGGTGTCTTGAAACGGCCGACCGCACACGCCAGGAGATGCCACGCCTGCACCTTTGTGCAGTGTCTGCCGAGCCGCCATTGGCAGCTGGCAAGAAAGCCCCAGCAGCCCAGACGCCGCCAAGTGCCCCCTGATGCCTTGGATGTTGCAGCTGCTATATATATGTGCATTTAAGGCTGTGCTGCGCGATCTTCTGCTATAGAATATCCATATAGCACACTTAAACTATCCCTGAAGTTTTGTAGCTGTGCTGTATACAGGATCTACGCACGCACGAAGACACGCGCACACACATATGCATACATGTGTATAATTCTCGTTTTGCAGTCGGGTTCTGCGAGGGTTCGAAGAAGTCCTTCGGAGGCGCCACGCCGGCAGCATCAAGAGCATGTGTGTGATGGGGGGGTGGGGGGTAGGTTTCGGATTTGTCTGAAAGGATGAGCAGGTGCAGGTGGTGGTGTAGGTGGTGGTGGTGGTGGTGGTGGTGGTGGTGGTGGTGGTGGTGGTGGTGGTGGTGGTGGTGGTGGTGGTGGTGGTGGTGGTGGTGGTGGTGGTGGTTGGTGGTGGTGGTGGTGGCGGGTGGTGGTGGTGCATGGTGGTGGTGGTGGTGGTGGTGGTGGTGGGTGGTGTGGTGGTGGGTGGTGGTGGTGGTGGTGGTGGTGGGTGGTGGTGGTGGGTGGTGGTGGTGGTGGTGGTAGTGGTGGGTGGTGGTGGTGGTGGTGGTGGTGGTGCATGGTGGTGGTGGTGGTGGTGGTGGTGGTGGCGGTGGTGGTGGTGGTGGTGGTGGTGGTGGTGGTGGCATTTAGTCAACCCATGGTAAACCTATACACCCCAAGATGCGATTTGCAACGCTGACCCGCCAAAGATGCGATTTGCAACGCTGAAGTGCTGAGGGACCATCCTAGAACAAAGCTCGGCAAACCCAAACGCACCCGAAGGAACCCGATAGGAACCGAAATCGAACCCAGGGTTTTGTCCCCGAAAGCCCCAAATCAAAGTTGTGAAAAGTAGCGAAATAGCTGCGAATTGGCGCGAAAAGTTGTGAACTGTATGTGGCCCATGGGACGGCTCATTCCGGTGGTGGTCGCGAGCATTCCGGTGGTGGTCGCGAGCATGCTACTCATTCCGGCGGGTGTCCCGAGCTGCGTCTGCCGTGCACGTACAGTGTTGGAACGTGTGGTTTGTGTGACGCTGTGCTTTGTTTGTAAATGTGTGGCCTGGAGGCAAAGGTGTGGCCTGCACTCCAAGCCTCATTTCGTGTTGAGCACATGATCATTGATGCTGCAGCATCTATCTAGAAGGTTGCCGTCGGTATAGGCATTTTGCCAGCCATGGCACAAAGCAAGCGCAAAGAGGCCAAAGGGTCTAAGGATGTAGAGCCCAACAAAAGGGCCAAGGCTGCAAAGGAAGAAGAGCGGGGCCGTCCCCGGACTCGGGCAGCCATGTCCCAGCAAAGCACCCCGGCAAGCAGTGCAGCCTCGACTCCCCGCCCAACCAAGCGAATCACAGGCAAGACTGCAACCCAGAGCCCCCCTGTGCGGCCCTCCGCTCTTAAGAAGAGAAAGGGAAGAGCCAACGACCCACCGCAGCCCCAAACAAGCCCCGAAGGGTCAGCGAAGCAGAAAGACAGCAAAGAAGGTGAAACCAAGGCAAAGAAGGATACAAAGGAAAAGCGGGACGCAAAGGAAAAGAAGGAAGCAAAACAGAAGAAGGAAACAGAGGAACAGAAGCCAGCGCAGGAAAAGAACAGAGAACAGGAAAAGAAGGGAGCAAAGGAAAAGAAGGAAGCAAAGGACAAGAAGGAAGCAAAGGACAACAAGGAAGCAAAGGACAACAAGGAAGCAAAGGACCCCAGACAGAAGAAGCCAACAGCCACGAAGCACAACGGCCCAGAGCCCCAGGACCGTGCCGCAGACGATCAGAGCAGACCCTCGAACAAGCAGAAAAAGCGAAGGGATGAAAGTCCGGCAAGCAGTTCAGCGAGCGAGGCAGAATCTGAATGAACCCCTTTTGTGTTTAGCTGCGATAGTAGCCATGTAGTGACCAAACCCTGGTTGCATATCAGTCTAGTATACGGACAACAGGAGCCAGCCGAAGAAACGCAAGCGCAGCTGGACAAGGAGGTCGACAAGATGCTCAAGGAAATTGACACAGAGTCAGAAATCGCCGAGCAGGAGGAGCTGGACGGGCTGGACGACGACGAGGAGATCGACGGCAAGTCAGCTAAGTCCGTGAGTGCAGCAGACAGCGAGTCCGACAGTGACAGCGTTGGCGGGTCAGCTGACACATTGGATTCCGATGAAGATGACTCCGACAGCGACAGCACATCGGGTTCTGAGAAGTCCGAAGCCGAGCAGCAGCCAGAAGCCTCCACGCAGCTGGTCGCAGCGGCAGAGAAGGCAGATGCAGTGGTGAAGCGCAACAGCTCCTCAGTCGAAGACATGTAGCCAATGTGGTTTTAGTCCAATGTGTGTTCTTTCTAAGATGTAAGGTTTTCCGGGGTTACGTACAATCTCAGGTGTCACCAACAAGAAGGATTGGGACGTCTTCAGCAGGGAGGTCCAAGACCGCAAGAAATTCCCTGTTAGCTTGTCAACGCATCTGCAGAAGGACAAAGTTGACCTCTTCAACCTGTGGCTGGATAACAGCCGAGACCTCAAGAAGCTCCTAGGCTATACTTATAAGCTACCCGAGAACCCCCTTATATTAGCCCTAAACACATCCTGAACCATATGCCCTGTGTATAACCTATAACAACCTCATCACCCAAAACACATCCCGAACCCTTGCAGCCGATTGCTGTGCAATTCAGGGTCGCTGTGGTCGTCGAGCGCCGGGTGGAGCAAGTGAACACCTCGCGCAGTGGTGTCATCAGCATGAAGGCCAGAGACGTTCTGGAGAAGTACTCCAAAGAGAAGGCCGAAAAGTTGCTGAAGCGGCTCAAGGAGAAGGGGAAGTACTACGAAGACCCTGAATTTCCGGGTGATGAGGAGGAGCTGTGACTTAATGTATCTTATCCATCTAATAACTTGTCGGTCTGGGTACATTGGTTCTATATGGGGATAAGGTAGAATGTGTGGGAGCCATGTGCATCCCTTTTGCAGGAGTACTATTATTATTTGTCAGCGCCCAAGAAAGCCTGGAACGACAATGTCACCGGCACGAAGATGTCGTTGTCGGGCACCGAGAAGAATCCTGACCAGGCGCTGCTTGGTGGGCTGGTCGGTCCCGAGGGGCCGTTGCAGAGTGGGGCGCTTCCTGCTCTCGAGGCACAGACAGCCGAAGGCGAGAAGGCGCTGCAAGAAACCCTCAACAAGAGTGTTACTGTTTCCAAGAAGGCTAACAACAAGAGGAAGACCGAGAAATCCACGAAGGTTGAACCAACCACCTACAAAGAGAACCTTGGCTAATTTTTAAAGTGTAGAGGTTTATTAGGGTGTTGGGGGTGTATAGATTTAGGGTTTAGGTTTCGGGGTGTATAGGATTTAGGGGTCCAAGTTTCGAAGCCAAATTGTACAACCCAAACCCTATATAAACCCTGAACCCCAAACTCTAGGCCAACACAAAGCCTTTCACCCCAAACCCTCGACCCCTAAACTCCAACTCTAAAGCCCAAACCCTAGATCCCTAAACCCCCCTAAACCCGAAACCTCTAAACCCTTTCATCCCTCCTCGTCAGGAAAGCCGAGGAAGCAAAAGCCGAGATTCTCCGAGCCAGCTCCCAGGCCCGTCAGCTGGCCCTGGGCTTGTCACACGTGCAGTACGGTGGCTCATTGCACGATGAGTTGATGACATTCAACGAAGAGATGGAGGCTTTGTTCAAGGCGATCCAGAAGTTGGATGTTGACAAGGCTGATGATGCCTCCTACAAGAAGCCTTTGCGCAAGTGTACCCGGAAGCTTGCGTGGTGGAAGACTGCCGAGGCCAGGCTAACTCGAAATGTGCAACGCTGTTATGATATCGAAGCCAAAATACCAGCACCTTAATCTTAAGGAGGAAACATAAAGGCTTGAACCCTCGGGCTTACAGGGACCAACAACCTTCGATCCAAAATCGAAACCCCAAACCCGTATATGCAACGTAGTCCTCAGTCTCATGCGTAATATGAAGCCAACAATATGAAGCCAACAAACCCGAAACCTACAACCAACTCGAAACCCAAACCCTGAACTAAACCCCATGGCCCGTATAACTAATTCGAAACCACAAACCCGGCGGTGCACAACCTCGGGTGGTTAATGATTAGTAAGTATATTCCCGAATAGCATTAGAACAGCCCGAGTTCAGAGCACTATACGTGCATTTCAAGCTCTTTACAAATCCGTGACCCGAAACCATTGCAAACCACTCAATGCATTTGTCGAGATGTGCATGGGGGTCGAGGACAAATATCCAGACTAAAAAGAACTTAAGATGAAAAGCCGAGCCCCTGAACCTCTTATCCTTAAGTCCTTAAGTTACCCCTGGTCCATAGTGCCGCCAACAGGCAGCCGCTCGTGGCTTGATCTCCGGCTTGAAGCCGAAGAAGAAGAAGAAGGCTGCAGACGGCGAGAAGCAGGAGGGTGCTTGAGCTTTTCTGCATCCCGAAGGGATACAAGATTTCAAGTCTTGGAGGATAGATGTTTGTTGCCTTAGACGGCAGCACCTAGGGCTTTGCACATGCTGCTACGTTTTGCAACTCTGGCTTGGCCCTTTCTCTGTATCTAAATGGCAACACAGCTTCTGTATGCTAGGCCTTTATAAACCGCAAGCATAGACAGAGTGCCAGTGGCAGTCAGTGCATGGGGCTGCGACGGCCGGCAACAGCAATCCCTCTCGAAAGACATGTGTGAGCTTCCGGAAAAAAAGAAGTCGACTCCTCGTTCCCAGCAAATTCCCCATACGAACGAAGCCCAGCCTCCGCAGGTACTTGCATCGATGCTGTCTTCGAGGAAACGGGTCCTCCGAATCAGAGGCCAGGGCTCTTACACTTATGGGGGGATTTGTGTAGAAGTTCTTGCTAAAAGATATCGAAATCTTCGAGGATTGTCCGAGCATTGGGGTGTTGTGCTTATATTCTCGCTTGGACCAGGGCGGGTGCTCGCAAGCGCCGCTACGAAGAGATGAACTTTAGCCATGAAGCAGATTGCTTTCTCAGAGCCTTGGGCCTTGGATATACGTTCTGTAACTCCTTTATTTCTTGCCATTCTGCAACTCGTCCTAACCGTTAGAAAAACTACTTGGAAGGGCAGGGGACTTAGTAAGTAGGTTTATAAGTAGAGTTATGAGTACCCGAAATAGAGTTACCCCAATTATAACCCTACTTATAACCTACTTACTAAGTCCCCTGCCCTTCCAAGTAGTTGCTTGAGGACTGATTGGTTCCGGCAAAGCTCACATCCGAACCATGGCTGCAGTGGCGCAGGCACAACTTAAAGATTCTGTGGGCGGTATGGGTTTGCCCGAAGCTATCAATCATTTCGCTAGCATCGGCTCCTATGGCAAGAACCCACAAAACGAAGAGCGAGATTTGCACCGCTGGCTGTCCGGACTGTATGGGCTGCAGTTGGAGCTTTATGATCTTCGTTTGCGACTTGAAGTAACTTGACAACACACTCAGCAAGGTTCCTCTGAGTGATATTTTGCTTGCTCTGGGTCTGTGTGTCTCTGGGTCCGTGGGCCTGTGGGTGTGGGTGTATAGGTGTGGGTGGGTGGGTATATGTACGTTCGCCTCGGCTCTGCCTAGCTCAGGTGCCGCATTCCGATGAGTGCGAGGAGATCTGCGTATCAACTCTGATGCCGCACGAAGTTCTACACTGCATCGCATGTGGCGGCTCCAAGCAGGCTGTGTGCGCTTCGGGTATTACACTGTTTTTTCCTGTAGTTTAGGTTTTACAAGATCCGGATTTTCTATTTCGATCTACATGACAGTCAATGTAAACTATCTAGGTGGCCACTTCACTGACTGGAGATTACGATTCCGAAGCTGTTCGACAATTCTGGCTACATTGCGAAACATTGGCTGAATGGAAAAGCCATCCTGTCTTTTCGAAGCGAAAGGAACTGGGATGCCCCTTTGCATTGATGGTGCTTTTACAATCTTTTACAAAAGAAATACGCCAGGAGTACTCTTATATCCTAGGGGTTGGGTTATAATGACCGATTCGGTATACTCCGCCGCGAGGCATCGTGCCCATGATATTTCACCTCGACGGTGCTGAGTTTTATGCGAACTCTGAGTATCTCGTGTGGTCCATGGGCAGCGTCCTTGCTACTGGAGATGTGCCCCAATGGCAATGGGTGAGTGTAACATAACGAGCATCGTTTATATTCAGTTCATTCCAGGTGTGGGACATCAAGTTCCCCTTGGTCATCGTTCCGCACGAAGCCGTTCGAGACAAGCAGGTGCATGCAGGGCCTGTGTTTAAAACATCCATGCAAGCCTGTATTCGTAATGAAATTATAGGACATGAGTCCATCAGCTCCACTCGATGCAGGTGCACGATGCCGTTCAACAACGAGTTGCAGAATTCATCGGTTGGTCGATGCGGCACGCTCTTTCGGGCGTGGGGCCGACCGTGGGATTCGACGGCGAAAAGTTTCTCCCGAAAAGCTTGCATGCCCGCCTGGCAGGCAAAACACTATCCAACGGATTGAAAGCTGCATACTTCGGGATGAGATTCGACATGAAAGCCCGTTATCAAGCGAACTTGTTTGAACGATATTATAATTGTAGGTCCATTTGCGAAAGCTGCATGGCGCAGCAACCGCTGAAGCATTCTGACCCAGCGCTGAATTTCAAAGACTTCCGCGAAACAGCTGTGCACCGGTTGACGGAAATTTCGCACGAGACATATTGCCGGACCGCTACCATCCCGAGCCCCTGGCTAGCTGTAGAAGGATGGACACTGGGGACTGCTTTTCGAGACCCGATGCACTGCATATACCTGGGGATATGCGCTTCTGTTCACAACAAACAGCTCAAGTTTTCTGTTATGTGACACTAATTTCGCAGTATTGTTTCTGCTTCTTCGGCTTGCATGTGCTCTGAAGGCAAAGACCTCTTCCCGAGCATTTTGGGAGAGTTCATGGATGCTGGAGTTCTGGGAGGCGGCGACCGAGAGTCGCAGCTGAGACAGCTGTCAGTGGAAATGCATGCCGCCTGTAAGGCGGCTGGGCCCTTGGGTGTGACAGCTAGAAAATGCTTTTGACGTTGTTGGTTTATAATGAAGGGAAAAAACCCAGCCCAACCCATCCCCAAGCAGGCTACACATTCGTCGACGAAGTTTCACACTGTCCAACACTGGTATGAGCAAGCCGTCTGAGTATGGTGAGTTTGGCAGCGTTTGGAAAGCAGCCGAGATCAAGATTCTACTCTGGTTCTTCACTCGGAAAGCTGTGGAAGTGGCTGACACGACGGATGCATCTTCGCTTCTTTTTTGGGTTTTAAGTTTTATCATAAACCATACCTAACTATAATCTCCCCTCACATCGCGAACCTAAGCACCCTTGTAAACCCACATCCCTGCACCTTCAAACTTTATCCGAAATCGTAGCCGCTGAACTCCTTAAACCACATACAACACTACCGTAAATCAAGGACCCTGTTCTGAAAACTGTTGCATCGTGCACGTGGAACCTACACACAGCAGTGCGGATCTTTGACGAGAATGATCTCATCCTTCCGGTGAATGATGCGGATGCTGCTTACAAGTTTATCATGCAGAGCTTAGTGTGCTGGCAAGACTTGGCACTACGTAGCTTGACGCTTGGTAAACGACGGTGGAAACTGCGCCCTAAGCATCACTATGTAGAGCATATTGCCAGGGACGTTCGTCGCACGCGGTTAAATCTGCGGCTTGTCATGCAGTGCTTTCAAGATGAATCCTTTTTAGGACACATCAAGCGGATAGGAGTGCATTGTCATTCGGCCCAGATGATGTCACGACTTTTCCAGCGGTGGATGATTCTGCTGGCGATTCGCTTTAAAGATAACATCACGGAATGAAGACTAAAACCAAGCTACAGCATGTGTAAATGTACTTCAGTCAGTGATGTTACAATTCGTAATTCGGCGGTCCTCGCAACTGCATCCATCCATGGCAGCGGCAAAGGACGACTTCTTCGAAGTGGTTTACAATGGGGGATATATGGGTATATATACGGGATATAGATTAAGACTTCGAAATGAGAGCATCTCAGGCCCGCGGTGCCGGCTGCCATAGATATGGCAGAACCATAAACCCCGAATGTTTTAGTCCCAAACTACAATAATCCGGAATCCTCGTCTCTCAAATCCCGAAGAGCTTCTGGGGTGTGATTTTGGGCGAGTTGGTCTTTGGGGCTTTTGGTGCTTTGAGCTGTATGAAGGTTTTACGTGTTTAGGGTTTGGGGCTTCAGAGTTCAGAGTTTCAGAGCCATAAACAGTACTTAAAGGCTCATGGGACTTAGTAAGTATAAGGTTATAAGTAGGTTATAATTAGGATATCCCCACTTAGGGGACTTATAACCCCAATTATAACCTACTTACTAAGTCCCATGATCCTCTAAGTAGAAGCCAGAAAGTTGGAACGTGGTTTTAGGAGGATTAGCGCTAGGATCCCTTATGCTTTACCCTATAAGGACATGAGGAAAACGACGTTCCAACTTTCTGGCTTCTGGTGGAGGGGTTTAAGGATTTTTTGTTCTTCAAGGCCCCCCAACCCTGGAACTCCTAAACTGAGCCTGCCGGAACTCTCAAACAACAACCGAAACCTCAGAAGATATTGTAAACCCCAGCAGCGATCAAGAGACCTCATGATGCAAGCTGAAGTCAGTTCCGCGACTATCATCGCCCTGTACCTGAAATCTTAAGTCCAAGCATATATCGATTATGTAAAGGACCCCTGGAATACACCGACCAAGCTTCCAAAAACCCTAGCATTATCCCAGCCTGCAAGTGCCAGTTCTACAGCTGCACTTTACCCCAAATGTCGCTATCGCCCCTAAATAAGGCAATTTCAGCTAT